CTCTGTGTGTGGGCTGGGCTGCCTGCTGTTATAGCGTTTTATCTCCCCCCATTGGCTGGGGAATTCCAGCCTGGGATCTGTCAGAGTGTGGATCCATCATCCTCCACTCACTGCAACTGTCACCCCTGCCACTGCCAGCCACAGATACAGTCCATCTGTGACACTGATTTTGTCTTTAATATCGATGCTGGTGGCACCTTATGGCACTTATTTTTGCAAATTAAAATAATTTTAGCAGTTTCATGTTTTGTTGATCTAATATGTTCTACTGTTTTTAAAATGTTTTATTTATTTGGTTTTTTTTTTTAGGGGGCTGGTCTTGCCTAGAGTGCAGCACCCGCACTGGAAACATGTTACATGTTCCACCCTAAAAACGGGTGGAATATGTAACATGTTCCCAAAGGCGAACTTATCCTTTAAAGCCATTCCAGACCCAAAGAACTGGGTATGAGTTTTAGGGAGACCCTACACTATTTTTTTGACCATCCTGACCCCTTAGTGTACTTTCACCTTTGTCAGCTAGGAACTCCAGATAAAAGCTGAGTGGGCCAGGCAAAGATGAATCATGGGTGTAAGGAGGCTAGCAGTCATCAGCTTCCTAGCAGCTAAAAGCCCTGAGCTTGGAGAATATATGCAGAGGTAGCAATACCCTTCTGTAGCCAGATGCTAAACATGACCAAACACCCAATTAGTTTGGTTGTTGAAGAATGTTGGACCAAGCTTACAGCTTATCATTGGCCTTGATCAGCAAAGAGTAAAAAAAAAAAAAAAAAAAAAAAAAAAAGAAAAAAAAAAAGGAGTTGAAAATAACCCAGGGAGAGCAGATTCTGAAGGAGTACGCATTACATCAAAAGGCAATAATAGTAGATGCAGACAATCCATTTAGAGCTTATTCAGTAATAGTAGGTGCAGACAGTGACCGCTTATTCTAAAGGCACACTGTACATTAATAGGGCAGTAATTATAGGTGCAGACAGTCCAGAAAGAGCTTATTCTGAAGTTATATGGTACATCAACAGATGGTGTTAGTACAGGTGAAACTCGAAAAATTAGAATATCGTGCAAAAGTTCATTTATTTCAGTAATGCAACTTAAAAGGTGAAACTAATATATGAGATAGACTCATTACATGCAAAGCAAGATAGTTCAAGCCGTGATTTGTCAGAATTGTGATGATTATGGCTTACAGCTCATGAAAACTCCAAATCCACAATCTCAGAAAATGAGAATATTGTGAAAAGGTGCAATATTCTCGGCTCAACGTGTCCCACTCCAATCAGCTAATTAAGCCATAACACCTGCAAAGGGTTTCTGAGCCTTTAAATGGTCTCTCAGTCTGGTTCAGTGGGAATCACAATCATGGGAAAGACTGCTGACCTGACAGTTGTCCCGTGGTGTGTCCCCCGCAGCCCGTTTCACCAGCCGTTCTGTGTTCCAGGCGCCGGCATCTTCAGTGTGGGCACTCGGCTGTGAGAGCTTGCGGCTTCACAGCCGGGTACCCACTGCGCATGTGTGAGTAGCGCTGTGCTTCATGAATGGTCCTGTAGTCTTCTGGGACCTGTCACGTGTCCCAAAAGACTACAGGGAGGGAGGACACCTAGGCGATCGGACCGGAAGTGGGAGTGGGTACCTGTAAAAAAAAAAACGTTACAAACCACCCAAGGCATGAGGGAGAAACCTGAGGCTCATGTATGAGTTAACAAAGGGGGAATATATGAGAAGAGGACAGGTGATGGAAGATTCTACATCATGAGGATGGAAGACACCCAGAGCTACAAGTAAACACCAAGAGACGGGAATAATCAGAAGATGTAACATTTACTGATTACTGCAGGAATCATAGATTTCTCTTACCATAAATCCTGAATATTACTCTCTGGGTCAATTAGAAAGGAAAGATTAGCAGGCTTCATTGTATCTTCTGAAGAGATGGACATTTCTTCATCTTCTGCTCTGTCCTCGCCCATATTATCTTCACCATGCCGTCCATGAAATGTACAACTCACAAAGCTAAAAGAAAATGTATATGACATTTACCACCAAGAATATATTACACATTGTACCTCTGATAAAAAGAAAGAAAATGTGACAATCAACATTTGAAGTACTGTAAATGTAAACCCAAACTGGATAATAATTTTGCTCTGCGCACTGCGTATCATAAACCTTTGTCATGCTTTTTGTCCATTAAATAATATTTTGACCTTTTTTCCTTCTGAGCCCTGCTGATCTCCTGCAGCCACTTTGCTGCCTCTTTATGTCTCCATGTACTCCCGTGATGGCTGCACAGAATATGTCACAAATGATGAATGCATATGTTATTCAAAGACATCCAATCAAGAATATTCACTTGGTTATTCATCAGTCATTACGTTCCCCACTGGAGGATGGATGAGCCTCTAGTTTTAGTTTCAGTACCCCAGGTTAAGGACACAGCCAAGGTAATCCAACCCTCTCTCATTACTGAGATACTCAAACCCCCTCTCATTACTAGATAATCCAACCCCCTCTCATTACTAGATAATCCAACCCCCTCTCATTACTAGATAATCCAACCCCCTCTCATTACTAGATAATCCAACCCCCTCTCATTACTAGATAATCCAACCCCTCTCATTACCAAGGTAATCCAACCCCTTCTAATTACAAAGCTAAGCCAACCTCCTCATTACCAAGATAAACCAACTCCCACTCATTACCAAGATAAACCAACTCCTCTCATTACCAAAATAAACCAACCCTCTCATTACCAAAATAAACCAACCTCTCTCATTACCAAGATAAACCAACCCCCTCTCTTTAACAAAATAATCCAACCCCCTCTCATTACCAAAGAAATCCAACCCCCTCTCATTACCAAGATTAAATCCAACCCTTCTCATTACCAAGGTAATCCAAACCCCTTCTCATTACCAAGGTAATCCAACCCCTTCTCATTACCAAAGTAATCCAACCCCTTCTCATTACCAAAGTAATGCAACCCCTTCTCATTACCAAAGTAATGCAACCCCCTTTCATTACTAGATAATCCAACCCCTCTCATTACCAAGGTAATCCAACCCCCTCTCATTACCAAGATAATCCAACTCCCTCTCATTAGCAAGGTAATCCAATCCCCTCTCATTGGCAAGGTAATCCAACCCCCTCTCATTACTAGATATTCCAACCCCTCTCATTACCAAAGTAATCCAACCCCCTCTCTTTACAAAGTAATCCCCTCTCTTTTATAATCCAACCCCCTCTCTTTACAAAGGTAATCCACCCCCTCTCATTACCAGGGTAATCTAACCCCCTCTAATTACTGAAGTAATCCAACCCCCTCTCATTACTAGATAATTCAATCCCCTCTCATTACCAAGATAATCCAAAACCCCTTAATTACCAAGATAATCCAACTCCCTCTCATTACCAAGGTAATCCAACCCCCCTCTCATTACCAAGGTAATCCAACCCCCTCTCATTACTAGATATTCCAACCCCTCTCATTACCAAAGTAATCAAACCCCCTCTCTTTACCAAGGTAATCTAACCCCCTCTAATTACCAAAGTAATCCAACCCCCTTTCATTACTAAATAATTCAATCCCCTCTCATTACCAAAGTAATCCAACTCCCTCTCCATACTAGATATTCCAACCCCCTCTCACTACCAAAGTAATCCAACCCCCTCTCTTTACAAAGGTAATCCAACCCCCTCTCATTACCGAAGTAATCCAACCCCCTCTCATTACTTGATAATCCAATCCCCTCTCATTACTTGATCATTCAATCCCCTCTCATTACCAAAGTAATCCAACCCCCTCTCATTGCCAAGGTAATCCAGCCCCTTCTCAATACCAAGGTGATCTAACCCCTCTCTTTACCAAGATAATCCAATCGCCTCGTTACCGAAGTAATCCAACCCCCTCTCATTACCAAGATAAACCAACCTCCTCTTGTTACCAAAATAAACCAACCTCCTCTTGTTACCAAGGTAATCCAACCCCCTCTCATTACCGAAGTAATCCAACCCCCTCTCATTGCCGAGGTAATCCAACCCCCTCTCATTGCCGAGGTAATCCAACCCCCTCTCATTGCCGAGGTAATCCAACCCCCTCTCATTGCCGAGGTAATCCAACCCCCTCTCATTGCCGAGGTAATCCAACCCCCTCTCATTGCCGAGGTAATCCAACCCCCTCTCATTGCCGAGGTAATCCAACCCCCTCTCATTGCTGAGGTAATCCAACTTTCTCATTGCCGAGGTAATCCAACTCTCTCATTGCCGAGGTACCGAGATAATCCAATTAGCTCTCATTACCAAGGTAATTCAACCCCTTCAAATTACCAGGGTAATTCAACCCCTTCTAAGTACCAAGGTAATCCAACCCCCTCTCCTTTCTGAGGTAACCCAATCCCTTCTCATTACTGAGGTAATTGAACCCCCTCTCATTGGTAGTCCAACCCCCCTTTTTTTTACTGATATAATCCAACCCCTTCTCGTTACTGAGGCAATGCAACCCCCTCTCATTATTGAAGTACTTCAACCGCCTCTCATTCTTGGGATAATCTGACTCCCTCTCATTTACCAAGGTAATCCAACCCCCTCTCATTACCCAAATAAATCAACCCCATCTCATTACTGAGGTGACCCAACACAATCTTTTTACAAAGATAATCCATCCCCCTCTTCTTTCTGAGGTAATCCAACACCCTCTCATTAAAGTGGTTGTAAACCCTTACATATACCCAGTGACGTGACTAGCCTCAGGTGATACACAGATAAAACACCTCCTACATCCTCCCTACATTTGTACCTTTTTATCTATAGCCGTCTGTTCCCTAAATCCATTCAATGTTCCAAATGTACACAAGATCGCTCAGCTCTGAAAAACAGGGGGTGGGGACCTGAAGTTACACTCAGTGAGGAAAGATCTGACAGCTGAGTGGAGGAAAGGGACACACCCCCTTCAGGAACAATTAGAGGCTGTCCATTACAGGCTGTGCCCTCCCCTGTCACATTTTTTTCTCTTTGGGTCAGGAAAATTCATAAGAAATTATTCACTCTGATAAGAGATGAATAGGAAAACAGACAAAAATTACACTTAGTGCTCTGGATTGAGGCATTGCATACTATAAGGGGGGCAGGGGCGGACTGACCATTTGGAAACTCGGGTACCGCCCGAGGGCCCGGGGTCAGTAGGGGGCCCCATGAGATGTCCCTGGTACCTTTTTCATAGGCTTTTTTTGAGTTTGGGAAAGGACACAGGGGCCCCATGAGTTGTCAGTCCACCCTGATAAGGGGATATTATGCTGCTATGGCTATTTATATGTTTTTTTTTGCATGGATATTCTTAGGCAGGGTCAGATCAGGTACAGGCAACAGAATCAGGTTATGGAGTGCAGAACGTTCTAGACCAGAAGGCATAGGCTAAACTGTGTTGGTGGTTTAAATAGCCCGCATTGCAGTGACGTGTACACTAGTGCACATGTGCCCACTAGCACGCTCCTGCTCATGCACGCCCGCACGCTCCCGCGCACTCGCACCACTGCGGCCAGAAGGGATCCGGCGCCCACGCACGGCTGAATGAGGGAGAGATCCCTGACACTCTCACTGTGATTGTACACAATGGTAGTCTGTCAGCAAGTTCTGGCCAATGATTCATGGCCATGATCTGCTGATCAGCTGTGTGCAATCACAGCCCAGAGCCCTGACAATTAACACAGGCACTGTACAGAGGAAACAATCTCTTTGTTTCTTATCCCTACAAAGCAGGGATAAGAAACAGAGAACCGTTAGCAAAAACATTTTATAAATTTACCACTGATTTTTGTTTTGTGAATAGGCAGGGGCACTATGTACCCAGCACTCATTCACATAGGTAGGCCAGGATATGGGGGCCTCCTTATTGTTAAAGGAGGCTTGAAGATTCTAGCTCTCACTGTGTAAATGAGTAAAGGGTACATAGTACCTCCATGTTGAGATCATGTGGCCTCCGTTGTGCTGAACTACTTTGTTTACTTGGCAGAGGTGCCCCACTTCAGGCAGGTTTAAGGGACCCCCAAGCAGTTTTTTTTTTTAAAGAATAGTGCATTTTTAATATTACTCTTTCAGCATTATTAAATTTATTGCTACCTGAACAACAGTATTTTTTAAGCTTTCTTGCATCGGTACATGTCCCCTGGGACAGTGCCCCCACCCCCATTTATTCCATGGCTATTAATCCTAAAATTGGAGAAAATTGATTTGACAACTTCTCATCCTATTGACCTCAGTGGGTTTGCATTCACCATCTGTACTTTTGAAATGTTTGGCCTCCCTGAATCAAACTCAGGTGTGTCTGACTCATCCCCACTCTGGGGTTTTCTCTGTTACATTATCTACCAGACTAGGCTCTGGGGTGTGGTGTTAACAGTATAATATGAGTAACATTGCCTGTTTCTTGGATGGACAATCCCCGGTGAGTTGTCATCAGAGGACTGGACCAAGCTTTGACAGGCAGGGAAATTTTTTGGAAGGGTGTTTTTTTGACAGGAAGTAGCCTGTACTTTAATCCTGGGGCTAAGGACAACACTTAAGGACCAGGTCCTCAGTGGGCAATTGTCTATAAAAAGCTGGTTGGTTGGGGAAGACATTGCCAAACTGTTCCTGTGAGGAACACCAGCGTACTGGACAATATCAGCCTAGGAAGCAGTAGGAACTGTGCTTTGAGTATTTCACCTTTTCACCTCAAATTCTGCAATAAAAACATCCATGTGCTAGATCACCTTTCTACAAGGAACTACAGTAAGTGTAACTACCTGGGGACAATGTTACCTCAGTTGGGGGTCTAAGTTGCTTGACCTTGACAGTAGGGCTACTTATCTGTAACCATCCTTTTGGAATGAGAAAGGTATTAGTTTCCAGGCCTTCTAACAAGTATGGTACAAGTGTGGAGAAAACTTCTGAAAATTACTGTTATACTGTATGCAGGTTCCTGCCGAATACAGCCTATAAAATGTTAAGATTGAACTTCGTTTTTCTGAATTCATTTAGGAAATATTCACACTCACTTACCTAACCTCCTGACACCTGTGTAGTAATGGAGATACACATTTCTGGCACTCGGAATCCACTGTGACAGTTTGAAAATATAAAGACTGAAAACTTTCACTCTTCAAAGTTTTCAAGCAATAGCTCAATTGCTTGGAATAATTACTGTCCATATGCATGTATTCAGTAGAATAGCCATACACCATCAAATTTGAACATGAAGACAGAGTTCTCCTTATGAAGTCCTCATCCTGAGTCTCATACAGACAACAAATAGCATGAGTAGTGAAATTCCCATCAATGTCCTTCATACCCCATTCTTTTATTACAGATCCAGCTCGCAGTGAGATGTTGATGCCTGTACTCTTTGTGAACACCTTAACCTCCCTTTCATTTAAGAGACCAAACAAGAACTGCACAGCTAAAGCTAAATGTGAATGATCAAATGATAAGTCTAGGAGTGATGTCACTTTACAGATTTCTGGGAGTGAAGGGTCTTCTCTCACTTCAGAGGCCCCTTCCTCATTTCCAGAACCATCATCGAGCACATAATACAGAGCACAAAGGAACTCCTGTACACTCAGGTGGATGAAGCTGTAGCAGGTCTGGGTGCGGATGTCCCAATGAAAGATGTTCTCATTCAGAAACACAGACTCCACATCAGACAGGGAAAGTCCATGTCTTTCTAGATCTTCTTTCTCAAACAAGATTTGTTGGTTCAAAATTCCTTCATTAGCAAGAGCACACAACTTCTTTAGACAGGTGTGTAAGGCCTGGAGTTTCCTATCCACAGGTTGGTCCTTTTTGCTATGGTGGTTTAATAAAACTTCTAAATAGAGAAGGTAAATAGAAGTCATTGTTTTAAATTGAATTAAATCCAAATCGTTTTTTATTTCTTGTTTTAATACAGTGCACACAATCCAGCATGTGATGGGGATAGCACACATGGTGTAGATAATTTCACTGTCTTTTATTATACTAAGAACCTTGTTTGCATCTTCTTTATTTCCAAAGAATTTATGGACATATTCTTTACGATCCTTCCTTGTAAATCCCTGGATTTCCACATAGCGATAATCAATGCTAGAGTCATCAATGAATTTGTTAAGTTTCTTCATGGCCAATGACCTTGTAGTGATAATCAGAGAAGATTGTTGGAGAACCTCTTTCCTGAGCAGTTTTTGGAGAATTATTTCTTTGTGGGTTTTCCATAGAAATGTCAAGACAACCCTCAAATTCCTCCTCCACAGTCCACCTCAGTTCATCAAAACCATCAACTATAAAGAGATGTTTTCTTTCATTTCGAGGATCCTTCAGAATAGACACAAAGTCATCTGAAAACTGCAGTCTGCAGGTACTGGATAAAAGTCCCACAAGGCTTTTGTTTCTAGTGATGGCTGTGATTTCTCTACAGCTCAGAAAAAACACAAAGTCAAACTTGTCTTTCCAGAGTTTCTCAGAGGCCCATTCCAGCATGATCTTCTTAGAGGTCATTGTTTTTCCAATCCCAGCAGCTCCTTCTAACACCACAATGTGAGGGATGTTACCATCTTCATCAGGGTCAAAGAGAGCCTGGATTGTGGTTGGGGAGTATTTATCTACAGATCTTTTCTCCATGATTGGTAGATGTCTTTTGCCTGTAAACATTATTTCTTGATCTATTTCTTCAATTTTCTGGGATCCCTTTCTCATGAATAAATTGGTGTATCTTTCCTGTAGATTAACGGTCTTCCCCCTACAAGAATTATATTCTCTATCTCGCTGGAACTTCCTTTTCATGGACTCTTTGTATTCCTTTTTAATGTCTTTATAAGAGAAAGGAAAATATTTTATTTTTCATACACACATAAAATAGTATTTATAAGACAGAGTCATAAATGTTGAGTTGTAACCATAAGCACCCAGAATTTAATCAAAGTAAAATACCCTATGAAATACAGGAATATTGTAGAAGAATTCAAAATATTCACTCACCATCCAGGCTACAACAGAACAAAATAATTATCCAAAGAACAAAAGAGATTTGATATCAAATTTGAATGTCCTACTAACCTGTTAATGTGTTGTGTGTCATCTTATTCAGTTCGGCTGGAAAAAAATAATATATTTAGGTGGATCATTATTATTATACAGGATTTATATAGCGCCAACAGTTTGCTCAGCGCTTTACAATATAACGGGAGACAATACAGCAACAATACAGTTCAATACAAGAGGGTTAGGAGCTTACAATCTAAGAGATCACAGATCACAAGTCTCAGAACACCAGAAGAATGGAAAAATCACTGGGGAGTGTTGTGTATAGTCACAAGGTGCATACTAAGGAGACAATGTTGAACTGTAAAGTTTTTCTATAAAATATTTTTTTTTAAATATCATTCTCATTACTTTCTTGACTCACCTTGTACAGTCATAGATGTGAAGGTTCTGTGAAATAGGCAAAGGGCTACAGTTTTATCACACTGTCTGGCATGCTGACTGATGCTGAGAAGTCGTTAAAGGGCATTTATCAAGGAAATTAGTGGTGCAGTTGGATTGAAATCAGGCTGCCTCTCATTTAACAAAGTTTCGGTGATAGGCTTAGAGTGCATTTGCGACCCTGTAATGAATTCCTGTGCAGCTGAATGCAACAGATTTATTGCTGAATACACACACTATATTGCCAAAAGTATTGGTCCAGCCCTCCAAATCATTGGATTCAGGTGTTCCAATCACCTCTATGGCTGCAGGTGTATAAAATCAAGCACCTAGGCATGCAGACTACTGCTACAAACATTTGTGAAAGAATGGGTCACTCTCAGGAGCTCAGTGAATTCAAGTGTGGTACCATGATAGGTTGCCGCCTGTGCAATAAGTCCATCCATGAAATTCCCTTGTTATTAAATATTCCACGGTCAACTGTTAGTGGTATTATGACAAAGTGGAAGTAACGGGGCACAACAGCAACTTCATGAAGTGGTAGGCCATGTAAAATGACAGAGTGGGGTCAGTGCATGCTGAAGCGCACAGTGCATAGAAGTCACCAACTGTCTGCAAAGTCAATATCAGACCTCCAAACTTTGTGTGGCTTTCAGATTAGCACATCAACAGTGTGTAGAGAACTTCATGGAATGGGTTTCCATGGCTGAGCAGCTGCATACAAGCTTTACATCACCAAGTGCAATGCAAACCGGCAGATGCCGTGGTGTAATGCACA